GGGCAAAATCAGTCTTTAGCTGCCTCCAACTGGTCTAAATGCCAAGTTGGGAGCCCTGGGAGTGAGATGGAATTGAGATTCTGCTGTTCCTGATTCTGGTATTCTGAGGGCCAGGAGCACATCAGATGTACTTCACTGTTTGCTCAAATCTCCAGGCAGCATATCCGTCCCCACCTTCCCATTCCTGGCCCCCCAAGAACCTCCTCCCCTGCCTGGCCTGCCAGGCCTCTCCTTACAGGAACTGGATCAAATTAGGCAGTGCAGATTGGAGACACACCAGAGGGGGAGGAGGTATAAGGTGAGAGAAATTGGCGACACAAGATAGGCTTAGTTCAAAGATCTCAAAAGGAAACTGACTTTATAGAAACACAGACATCATTCAGTGATGGAGGTAGGCATATATGTACTGTAAATTCAGTTCAGTGAGCTGAATACAAAGCACCTAGAAACAGCCATCCTCCCAGTTCAAAACGAAGTATCTCTATGAGGAGGGAGAAAAGGTTGGTCATTGTAACCTGAGACAAAGATTTTCTTCCTTGTTCTTTCTAATGCAACTGGCACCCTAAAAAGAGCCCTCCATGGCCCTGGCTTTCTCTCATCAACATAACGTTGCATTTGAACAGAAATGGGCAGGAACAGGTATTCCCTTCTAGACAGAAGACTTCCCACCACACTTCCTGACAAACAGCAAGTGAGACCAGTCCAAGGTCTGACTTTCAAGGTCAGGCTTCAACTACTCTCCCCATCTCCACAAAAACATACCTACAGCTCTCTTGGTGACGAAAATATCAGAAAGTCAAGTTTTCTCTCCATACTGGCTCTGAAAGTCTGAAATAAGGTGGACATCACAAGTAATGAAAGCTCTTCAAATCCTCCAAAGAATCCTGTTTGACCCAGTGATACTCCAAAATTGGAATTTAAAACACATTCCATGTGGCTTCATGGGTAGAAAGGTAGTGAGAGGATGTTGCTGGGAAAAGCAGGTGGAAGTGGAGAGAGGGCTGTCTCCATGCCATCCTTTTGGTTGTAGTAGGGAGAAGGGGAATTTTTTTTATTTGGTCTCGCTTAGGATCTGAAGTGGAGCCCAGGGATCATTATTATTTTTAAAATACTTATTTCTTTGGCTGCACCAGGTCTTAGTTGTGGTATGTGGGATCTTTGATCTTCCTTGCAGAATGTGGGATATAGTTCTCTGACCAGGGGTCAAACCCAGGCCCCCTTGGGAGCATTGAGTCATAGCTACTGGACCACCAGGGAGGTCCCTCCCCAGTGATGATGATGATGATGATTTTAATTTTCATGGAGATTTAGTTGATTTACAATGTTGTGTTAGTTTGGGGTATACAGCAAAGTGAATCTCTTACACATATATCCACTCAGTGGGCAACAAAGTCATTATGTTTTGTGCTTGAGAAATCAACATCTGTTGAGTAGAATTAGATATAATTCTGAAGCTGCCAAATTGAGGGCATCTCCCACCATCCTGGGGCCCACCCCAGAAGCTCCAGTGAGACCTCTCCTGATTCCCAATGGTAAGGCTATCTTCTTTTATAAAGACTTTATTTTTTTCTCAGGGGCCACTCGTTTGACTGTTCTTGTGATCCGGGGAGCTGTCTGGATTCTCTGAATTAGGCTGTAAGTGGGGAAGGCCAAATACCGCATACCGCAAAGAAAGATTCACTGACCTACTGGCAGACCCATGAGGAGATGAGGAATTCCTGGCTGGGCATTTCACATACCCTACCAAATAAGATGCCACACCCAGAGTGTCTGATTTGGACTTTTATCAGGTCCTGTCCTCAGAATTTGAGTTATCTTAAGTGGAAATATTCTAGGTAGTCAGACACCTGTTTTTAATGCTTCCTAAAGTGGCTCAGACAGTAAAGAATCTGCCTGCAATGCAGGAGACCCAGGTTCATTCCCTGGGTCAGGAAGATCCCCTGGAGAAGGGAATGGCTACACACTGGAGAATCCCAGGGACAGAGGAGCCTGGCAGGCTGCAGTCCATGTAGCCACAGAGCTAGACAAGACTGAGTGACTTTTTTTTCCCCAGGAAAAGTAGCAGTAAGGGGAAACATTCAGGCCTCAGCAGTCTTCTGTTTGGTCATGATATTGGAAGGCCTAGACTTGACCTGTGAGCAAGTCACAACCACACCAAGCTCACCACTGATGCTCTGAGGGCTCAGACTGGAGAGGCTGGGGTAAGTTGGAGCTCTCAAACATGTAAGTGGGGGTGTTTAAGTCGCGACAGTAGACAGTTTTGGAGAAGGAAATGGCAACCCACTGCAGTATTACTGCCTGGAAAATCCCATGGACAGAAGAATCTGGCAGGCTACAATCCATGAGGTAGCAAGGAGTCAGAGAAAACTGAGGGCCTTTCACTTTTCCCCCCGAAGATATAAACATGTACCTTCACACAGGCAAAGTGAACAGCAGCAGTAAGGGCAAATAGCCAGGCCTCAACAGTCTTCTGTTTGGTCATGATATTGGAAGGCCTAGAGTTGACCTGTAAGTCACAACCATACCAAGCTCACCACTGATGCTTTGAGGGGTCATACTGGGGAGACTGCGGCATAGCTGGAGCTCTCAAACATGTAAATGGAGGTGTTTAAGTCACGACAGTAGACAATTTTGCTTTATAAGAGAAGGGACTGAGGTGAAAGAAGTTATTCAACGTTGACACACTGTGGGTGGTGACATGTCAAATCTTCCTGGAAGCAGACTCAGTAAATTCATGACCTTGGAGGGGGAAATGGGGGACCGTATTTCCTAAATATCTATCTAAAGTCCCATGTTCCCATTAAACATTGTCACTAGACAGGACCACTCATAGTTTAAAAAAAAAAAAAGCACAGAAATCAAACAATGAGATTCTACAACTCTAGCAAACTGGGGGAAGAAAGTAACTGGGATGGGGCTGTGTGAGGAGGTACAGGGAAGGCTGTTTTAGTTTAGACTTGCTTCCCAAGTCTGTTTTTCCCTCTGGTTGTCTGCCCCAGGACTTCTGCCTGTTACATTTCTTTCTTTCTTTTTTTTTCTTTTTACATTTCTTTCTTAAGGCTCCTATGCAACGAATCTCTACCTTCGTAGCCTTGCTTCTCAGGTTCCCTGGACTTCTCACCCTGCATAGTGCCGCACACAGCACTTTTTGCTCCACCCTAAGTTTCTTCAACACCTGTTTCTTCCACTCTGCTCATTGCCTCCCAGTCTTCCCACTTAGGCCTATGTCTTTCTCGCTAACCTTCTTGACCGACATCTCCCCCTAGCCACCAGCAGTCTCTTGCTTCTTTGCCCAAGTACCCGGTCTAATTCTTTCTCCACCCTATCCTTCTGTTCTACCCCAGCCGTACCCAACGAAGGAGCCTCACGCACGCCAGGTCTTGCCCGTCTTCGGTTCTCTGCCTTGACCCATCTCCCGCCTTTTTAGGCCGCCTAGGTCCCTGCTACGTCCCTGTCAATCTTATGGCCTCGCGCCAACCCCTGCCCCCCCACCGCCAGCTTCCTCCCTTGGGCCTCAGCCCACCCAGCGACCCTCTCCCCTCCAGGCCCCCTCCCACGTGTCCCCCTCCCTTCACGCCCAGGCCCTCAGGCCCCGCCCCCGGCGGCCGAGGCCCCGCCTCTCGCGCTTCGCCCAAACCCCGCCCCTCACTCACCTGAGGCAGCTCCGCGCGCGCGCAGGCTGGGGGGGTGAGGGAGAGGGGACGGAATTGGGAGAGAGGGAGGCGGGGCAGCGGGGCTCCCCCACTCTGGCCCGGACGGCCCAGTGCGGGGGGAGTGGGGTCACTGAGCAGGCCACAACCGGGCCGGAGGCGGGACCCGGGCGCTCAGCGGCGGCGGCGGCTCCATCTCCATCGGCGGCTTCACCTGAGGAGGGACAGGCCCCCCCCCCCAAACCCCCCCAGTACGACTGTCCCCCTCCCCCGAACAACTTCCGGTCCCACTACCAGGCGACAGGCGGTGTGGCCGAACACCGAGCGCCTCCAAGCTGGGGAGACAAGGGAAGGAGAGCTAGGGGAGAGTAGCCGAGCGCCGAAAAGATTCAAGTCCTAAAGGCGCGGTCTCGGGCAAAGGAAAACTCAAGGACTGACCCTTCATCTGCATCTACTTTGCATACACGTCCACGTTGGGCGCTCTAGTTGCCCTGGCGCGCCTGCCTCTAGTGCCAAGTTTTGCCTTTGCCCCTTCTACGACAATATTGACTTTAACCTCCTTAGCATTCTTTGCCTTTCCTGCAAGGGCGTAGGAATTGTGTAGGGGAGGGACTTAAGGATGCCAAATTAAAAAAAATTTCCTCTTGGAGAGGTATCTTGAGGTCATTCGCCTAAGTAGCCCTGCAGATACCGACAGACTTAAGAGAAGGAAACCCCACTTCTCGACTTCCTTTCACCTTTCGTTTTGGGTTCTCAAGAGATATCCCAGTACCAGTGCATTTTCCTCCCTGCAATTTGCTCACTCCCCAGCCTCAAGAAGTTCCCCAAGTCATCTTTTTAAAATTTTTCAGAGTAGTAGTCTTAAACAGATACTTTATTGATGTATTTAGAAAAGTGGAACTATAAAGGGAGAGGGTTGTGTTGCGCTCTTCACAGCCCTTGGCAACCTAGAGGCAGTAAAAAGTTACATATGCACACATTCTTTGAAGAATCCCAAGGGCAAAGGCAAAATAAGGACTCAGTGGGGACAGTCATTAGAAATGGAGATAGGGTAGATAGAGAAAATAGTGCTTATTTCCAGAATTACTTTTCCTGCTTCCAGCCCTTTGCTCCAATAGCTCTTACCTTCTGGCACAGGGTCAGTGGCCTGTGACTATAACATAGTATCCAAGGAGGGGTGAGTGCCTGGGTGGATATGTGTGAGGAATGTATTTGTGTGTGGCTTCAGAATGCATAGTCAGGGTTGTGATCCAAGACATGGAAAGGAGGTGGAGGGAAAAGATTTTTGCGGTAATGAGGCCAAAGAATGGGTATGGAAAGGGGCTCAGAATGTGGCTCTGTTTCACCTTCTCATGGGGTGACATGGACATGGACGCGGTGCCAGGCGTTGTTGAGCACACCTCGCAGGTTCCAGATTGGGGCCACCGTGTCTGGCTGCACATTGTAGCTGTCATCTACAGCCTTACAAACAATGTTCAGTTCCTTTTTCCCAGCTGGCAGAGGGGCTTGCAGGTGCCATAGCCGCCAGGCCCAGGCCTTTCGGGCACGCTGCTCCTCTCCTTCCAGCTCAGCCACTTGCCAGGTTAGGCCCCCATCCAGAGACACATCCACCCTGACCACAGCTCTTCCTCCTCCACTCCATGCGTAGCCTCTGACAGTCACCTCCCCTGCCTCTATCGTCTCCCCTTCTTTGGGCTGTGTGATGGCTGACTGCACAGGAAGTTCTTGGATCGATGGAGCTGAATCAAAGTCTACAGTGTCCCAGTCCACAGACGGACAAAAGCCTTTGTAATCCCGCCGCTGCCAGTGGCTGAAACTCTCTTCTGGCTCCACACTCACTTTGCCCAGCCATTTGACATGGCGGGCACCCACCACACCGGGAACCACCACTCGCACAGGAAAGCCGTGGTCACGAGGCAGAGGCTGCCCATTCATCTCATATGCCAGCAGGACCTCAGCTTCAGGGTCCATGGCCCGAGCCAGAGGAATGGATGCTCCATAGGGAGTCCCTGTGGGGTCTGAATCCAGGCCCTCAAAGCAGACATGGGCCTCAGTTTCACAGAGCTGGTGACCAGCCTGGGCTAACACATCACAAAGCCGTGCACCAGCCCAGCGCGCAGTGCTAATGGCCCCTAAACTCCACTCCAGACCTCTTACTTCTTTGAACTGAGACATCTCGGAGCGCCGGTTGCCAGCACACTGCAGGGTGACAGTGACCTCGTGCCTGGGGAACTGGTACAAGTCATCCAGGGACAGGCACAGGGCCTGACCCCCGGGTGGGCCTGCCACATTCAGGCGATAGGTGTCTGGGTCCACGTTAGGTACAGGCAAATGATTCCGGGTGAAGAAGATAGGGTTGGGTGTGATGTAGCTTTCTGTCAGCAGCTCGGGGGGCGGCTCCGCATTAAAGGGGCGCTGGGTGTTGACCTTCAGAGCTGAGTGGCGTGTAGGATCGTCCGCATAAGGATCAGAGGTCTTCAGGATGGAGGGTGCCTTGTCATCAGGGCTCAGCTCCCCAATCTTGTACTCAGCTAGCATCTCTCGCACGTGGGGCTGGTTGTGAACAGCATAGAGGGCCCAGAAGGGCTCTAAAGGACCCCCGGCTGCTAGCATCAGCTTTGACGCCCCCCCTGGATGTATGTCCACAAATTCTGTGATATCAAAGACCTCACAGCCTAAAGTCACCCAGACCCCAGTCTCAGGGCTGCTGTGGGCTTTCACTTCCTCCCTTGTGTATCTGCGTGGTGGCTCTTGAGAAGCCTGAGGCAAAAGGGAACAGAATGTTAAGAAGAGATCACTCTAGCTCACTCTGACCCTGTGCTTCCCTGGTGGCTTAGAGGGTTAACAATCTGCCCACGATGCGAGAGACCAGGGCTTGATCAATGCGTCAGGAATGTCCCCTGGAAAAAGGCAGGGCAACCCACTCCAGTATTCTGTCCTGGAGAATTCCATGGACAGAGGAGCCTGATGAGGTCCATGGGGCCATGAAGAGTCAGACGTGACTGAGTGACTAACACTGACCCAACCCACAAAGCTATGGCCACTGGGAAGGTAGAAGATTCCTTCTGTGCTGTGCATGAAGACCATGAAGACTGTGTAATCACGGGCTCTGTGGTAAAGCTTGGGTTCCCTGGGGAGCTCACTCGGGCCCCTTGGTTCTGACAGTGAAGCCCCTTCCTTCCCTACTTACCCTGCACTGCTGGTCATGACAGGCCAACGCCGCCCCGAGGCCTAGCAGCGTCCCCATGACTTTCCATCCCCTGGTGCTGGAGCCACCACCAGAGAAGGCGAAGCTGGAGCGCTGGGGCCGAAATGGATCATTTGTACAGCAGGCCCGAATGCAGAGCCTTGCCGGGGTTGACTTGAGTCTGGAAGAGAGAGAAGTCTTCTTAGTAGTACACTTCTGATCCTAAGAAAGGGCTGGGGAAGGCCTGGGGTGTACCTCTCCCGGGCTAGCCATCGGTTCCTCCAGCTGGGATTAAGTTTCTCAGGGATGGCTGGGACACGGGGGTCGGCTTCCCCTTTCCTCCCAGGCCACATCGCAACCATTTCACCTGGCGGTTAGGCTAAGTGCCACCAAAGTACAGGGAGAAGGAGACTCGGGCGAGGACTGGATGGCCTACCTGCAGGCCTGTCGGAGCCCTGGGGCCACAGCTCTGCGCAGCAGCAGCAGCATTGTGGAGACCTAGGAGAGGAGGCAGGTCCCAGGATCAAGATAGGAGTGCTGGGAGGTGATGAGATTGGGGCAGCTCGAGGCAATGGTAGGCGCATGACACAGGAGACCAGCTAGGAGCTCTCTGGACAAATGGGGACAATTTTTCTGTGGTAACGAGGCCATAAAATGGGAGTAGGCATCCCAACGGGCCCTTAGAGAAAACCTGGAGGAATTGAGAGAGAGAATATGCTGGCAGGATGAAAAGCAGCAGGGGGGGTGGGAGGGAGTCCCCTGAGAATCACCGGTTCTACATCCTCCACCCTCGCCTCTGTGCGGTACAGAGAGCAATGGGAGCCAAAAGTCCTTTGTCCAGCTTGCCAGTTTATTCTTTCTGAAGCTAGCAGAGGACAACTGAGGAGTGTGCTCACGTAAAAGGAGACAAAAAAGTAAAAATACAGATAGTGGCCACCTAATGAGGTGAAGGAAGCTCAGATTCTGGAGTCAAACTGCTTTGCGTTTATAAAAACCAGTCCCGCCATTAACCAGCCCTGTTCCTGGGCAAGATACCAGGCCTCTGTGAACTTGTGTCCTCATCCATGAAATGAGATCTACCTAGCAGAGTTGCTGTGATGTGCAAACAAGTACTAACATTGCCATTGAAGGATTTTCCCTCCTCTCCCTCCGCCCACCCCTAAAACAATAAAAATTGAACCCAGCTGGGAACTGGATCCCAACCTGGGGTCCACACCCCTACCCTGTCTATGCCATTTCAGTGAGCTCAGCAAATTGAGTAGTTAATGGCCTGGGTGTCAGGGAACCGGCTAGAGAAGGAAGAAGGTAATTTTTCTGCTCTGGCTCGCAGCAGTTTCTTCCTTACAGCACTGAGCAGATCAGTGATCTCAGGAGGGCCAACGTGGCGAGTGGGGTGGGGCGAGCAGAGTCAGAATTGCGGATGAAAGGCAAGAAAGCTAGGAGTAGGAGCAGAGAGGCTGCATTGTACTCCCGGGCCTTGGGACCCTCACGCTCCCTCTCACTCCCCGTCAGTGCCAGCAGCCCACTCTGCTGGAGCATGAGGTAGAGCTGACTTATAGTGGAACTCGATCAGCCCAAGGTTCCAGTCTTGGGAGAAGTAGTCTTCTGCTAGGGAACAGCTGACACCCCCTTGTGCGGGTGGTGACCAGTCACTCCCCAATGTCACTTTGGGCAGAATATGGATATTTTACCGGGGCACAAGCAGCTGGCTCCATGTCACTGCCTAACAGCTGGCCCGAGAGTATTTTGTAGCAATAGCCCACGGCCCCAGGAGCACCCGGCTGGCGAAGGTGGAGGCGGGTACCAGCCGTTTCGCCGAGCCTGGGATCTGGAGCACCCCGGGTGCCAAACGCCCGTCCCGCCACCGCTCAGGTTATTGGCCTTGCCCCCTCCTCTCCCCTGTCCTGGCCCCAGCCTCCTTACCGGCTCAACGTGCGCTGGGGGCTGTTTTACCTTCTCCGTGCCCAGCGGCTCTCGGCGACGGGGCGGGGTCTGCGCCGTGACGTCGTGCGGAGTACAGGACCACTCTCGCCCCCCGGCTCGTCCCCTGGCCATTGGCGGGCGGCGGACCGCCTCCCCGCTGCTGTGCCCGCCTCCTGGAGCCCGAGGCAGGCCGGGCGCCACCCCGGCTTGCAGACAGGACGGTCTGCTTTACCTCCCGCCCGCGCCAGCCGGCTGTTTTTCCTTCCGCCCGCGCCAGACAAGGAGTGGGACCCTCCGGATGTTCGGAACAGTGTGAGGTGATGAGGACTGCCAGGGGCCGGGCTGGGAGGCGCCCCGCCCCGCCCGCTGGGACGCAAGGTGCTTTCCCTGGGGGCCTTGGCGTCCAGCCGGCTTTCTCCCGGTGGTGAGCGCCGCCTCATCCTCGGTCACGACTGCCACAGCCCTGTTTGTCGTTTAGAGAAAACAAGATCAGAAGCTCAAGTCTTTTATTTTCAGGAATGAGAGCAGAAATGGAGTCCAAAGAGTGGCTCAAAGACTTCGCGATTCCTTGGTCTAACAATTTCTCCTCAAATTGTAGAAATAACAACACTGAATAACCAACCATCTTTTATATTTTGCTTAGTTGTCAATTTATTTTAAAAGGTCGTTATTTGATGACATTTTAACGCCCCAAAGCTGGAAGATTATAGTTGCTCACAGTATCAGAATAAAGGGCACTAATTAAATTGCTTGCTATTGCCTTTCGCCATTTGGCTAGGGAAAGCTTGCCATTGGCGAGCTGTGGACCTGGGCAAACGCACCCGACGCTGCCCTCTAGAGGTGAGAAGGCTGAGTTACAGCCTTACTTCTACAGTCGACCGAGAGGCCAGCGCTTTCACTTTTCTTCCCCCACCTTTGACTTTGGAAGACCATTTCCCCTCCCTCCCTTTCTTCTTTCCAAAATTGAACTAGAAGAGCTTTTACTAGAAATGAGGAAGTCGTGTGGGGGTGCAGGGGTAGTGTGGAATACTAAGTACTATAAGGAAAGGGGAACTGACAGTGAAAAGGTGATTTTAGCCCTAAGGTTTTTGGAAAAAAGATTCCCAATTTAACTGTACAATTTAATCATCAGACAGGCCTGATGCCCAACCTATCCTGCCAGTCTTAAAAAACAGGCTCAGGCTCTTTCAGCCATCTTGGACCCTGTGGAGGTATGTGCAGTTCCTGCAGCTGAACTTTGGGGGCAAATAAGCGGGGCCTGCTGGGAACAGGACTTCTAAAACGACAAATATGTCTGGAAGGCTGTGGTCCAAGGCCATTTTTGCTGGCTATAAACGGGGTCTACGGAACCAAAGGGAACACACTGCTCTCCTGAAAATTGAAGGTGTATATGCTCGAGATGAAACTGAATTCTCTCTAGGCAAGAGATGTGCTTATGTGTACAAAGTAGAGAACAACACAGTAACTCCTGGTGGAAAACCTAACAAAACCAGAGTAATCTGGGGAAAGATAACTCGAGCTCATGGAAACAGTGGCATAGTTCGTGCCAAATTCCGAAGTAACCTTCCTGCTAAGGCCATTGGACACAGAATCCATGTGATGCTGTACCCTTTGAGGATTTAAACTTCTTGAAAATAAATAAAAGTGTGGATTAAAAAAAAAAAAAACAGGCTCAGTCCAAGGATACAGAGGAATCAGTTAAGGATTATCTGAAGCCATGGGATGAGATTTCTGCCTTGTAACTGTCACCCTACATAAAGCTACACACAGGCTTTATATAATCGACCTTTTAAATCTCAAGAACTTTCACTTTACAGAGGAAACTGAGGCAGAGAACAGCTAAGTAACTTGACTAAGGCCATAGCTAATAAACTGTCAGAGGTGGGACTGAATTCCAGGGTGTGTTTCCTGTCCTTCAGATTCTTTGGAATTTAAAATTCCTCCTGCAACCACACCTAATCTTTTCTATCATTCTCCCCGACCACTTCCACTTAGACTGTGAGGGTCAGAGCTTCAAGAATTCAGTAGAAAAGGAGAAGAATTTCCTGCTGAAATTTTCCTGTTGGGGTAGAAGTCACATGATCAATCAACAATGTTAATTCAGTGATTTATGAAACTTTCTTTAGGTCATGGTCTCAGGTCATGGATCCCTTTGAGATACTAATTAAGGCAGTGGGCCCTCTCCCTAGAGAGGCGCACATAAATTTTTGCACAACACTCAGAAGTACTCACAACCACCACCTCTCCCTCCAGCCTCAGCTGTCTGCCCACAGATCCACAGATGCCCACCCCCTTCCACATATAGTCTGTGCTAAGCTAGGGACAGATCTGATGACCGCTCTAGTGGCTTGGGGACAGAAGTGATTAAACAGCAGTGAAGGGCTATTTTACAAATTGAATTATCTCACCATCCAAGGAAAGATGAGTGATAAGGAGCTGCCAAGATGCAGGGCTTCCCTGGTGGCTTAGCAGTGAAGAATTGCCTGCAATGCAGGAGACCTAACAGACATGGGTTCAATCCCTGGGTGGTAAAGATCCCCTGGAGGAGGGCATAGCAACCCACTCCAGTATTCTTGCCTGCAGAATCCCATGGACAGAGGAGCCTGGTGGGCTACAGTCATAGGGTCACAGAGAGTTGGACACGACTGAGCAACTTAGCATGTACGTACGCACACACATGCATGCACCAAGATGCAAAGGAAGGTGTGTTTCTGGTTCAGTAAAACACTATTGGGTTGCCCTTGCAAATTTCTTGTATCAGAGAAATAGAAAAAAAAAAAAAAGAAGAGAAGAAGCAACACTCCAATACACCTTTTTTTCTCCTTTTTTACTTACATTAAATACATCGGTAAATCAGCAGTCGCATTCTGTTACCACGATTGTTATGTTGGGAGAGGAAGAAAAGGGAAAAAAGGCAAATGCTTTCTTAGAGGCAAAAAAAAAAAAAGATACCCCGCCTTAAAAAAAAAAAAACTGATCAGAAGAAAAAAATGAAGAGCCGGGAAATAAAAACTAAGATTCCCCAAGCCCACCAGAGCTCAAAGAAAAGCAGAAGAGCTGCTAGAAAGTAGAAGGAAGGCAGCAGACAGGCCCATAAGTTAAGGCCAATCCTGTTCCTAAGTGGGGCAGTGGAAGGGAGAAGCAGCCTGGAGAAATGGTTTCCCAGCCCCAAGGCAATGAAACATCTTCACTCCTGCTCCATGGGGAAAACTGCACAAAGAACTTCATTTCTAAGAAACTTATGAGAGCCATCCTAGTTCTTCCACTTGTAAGAACGCACTGGGTGCTTTAGGGGGCTAATGGGTGCTGGGAAAAGAGGGGGAGAATATGCGTTTCAGGGCCGTGGGAACTAAGGCTGCCCCTGGGAAAGGAAGGGAATTGAGGCATAAGTGGAAGAACCTAAGCTCAGTCCTTCAGAATCTCAGCGTCATGGATTTCTCAGCTGCTCTGGAACAGAAAGCAGTCTACAAGCCCAAAAGGCAGAACGGTTCCAATCCTAGCTCACTATGGCCTCTCCTATCTTATTTCCCCCAATTTCCCCAAAATTCTAAGCTAGAACAAGAAGGAATTCAGAGTTCTCTCTTGCCTTGATGGCTTCCCAAAGACATCTTAAAATACCTGATGAGGGGCGTGGAGAGAGGCTGGAGATTTAGAAAGGACCAATGTCCTCTGGTGGTGAGACAGTCATGAGGGACCTTGAGTGCCAGCCATTCCCTGTCCACAGGAATAGGCGTTATGATATGAGGGGGCACAGGCTGACCTCTGTGGTACAACTCCCTAGTGGTGTGTGGATTAAACCACTGGTTGCACGGGGGATGGGTTTGGGGTGGTAAGCACGGCCAACTGAAGATTCTAACAGAGAAAAGAAATCGGGCCTGATGGGAGCTAGGGGGGCAGAAAAGACTGTACAGTGAGAATAAAGACCATACCTATTTACAGGGAAGTAGAAAAGACACAGTAATGGGTGGATCAAACTGAACGGGAACCCTGGAAAAGCACAGAAAACTCCTCCCTCTGGCCGGACTCTTCCTCACTCTCCTACAGCGAGTGGCCTCTGCTACCCTGAGACCGCTCTCCAGTTGCTCAGATAATCTCCCGGGAAAGGTGAACCTCCACCAAAGAGTCAGGCTGGCAAGAATACAGGTGCAGTGAGAATCAGAGTTGGAGGCAGCAAGCAGTGGGGGCTGGGCTCGACCAGCCGCCACCGGCACTGTTCTCTGCACCCCCCCCAGTCTCACATGCACACTGGGTTCCACTTAATTAAAAAGAGGGCAAGTGTATCAACCGAGCCGCCCATTAAACAACTATCACAACTGAACTACCATCAGTTAAAGTGCAAACTGCAGGGGGATACGGTGGCTGGGGCTGAGGCCATCTGAAGGCCAGAGAGAAAAAAATGCCTAAGTCAGAGGATGGGTATCAGAAACTGGTCCCTCCTCCATTTAGATCACAGCAGAGCCAAAGAGGCAGGCAACCAGTGAAGATTCTTTGGAGGACTCTGTGGTCCAGACTCTCCCCCATTATGGGGGAGAAGCTACCTAAGAAGCTGGGTGAGGGGGAAATCGGCCTTGGGAGAGTTCACGAGCCACAGATGACACTGCCTCTCCATCCCTTCCACTGCTGCAGTCAGCCAAGAGCAAGACTCCAACCTGTGCCTGGGAGCTGGCCATCCCATTCCCACCTCTACCTAGAAATACCCTCCACAAGGCCAACTCAGGGACTGCAGTGCTTTCAAATATGAGGAACTCCAACCAAACAAAAACAAAGAAGCAATGTTTCCTTACTACCCCTGCTCTGAGCCTTACTTTCCCCCAAGGCCCTTAATGTGACTGAACTGGAAACCTTCCTCAGTTCCTGGGTTCACCACCTTCTCCATCCTGGGGAGAGGAGGAAAAGGAGATCAAGAACAGAGACTGACCAAAAGCAGAAGGGGAAGGGGCAGGAGACCAAAAAAAAAAAAAAGTTTTCTGAAAAAATGGGCAGAAGGAGGAAAGATGAGTAGGTCACTGTCTTGCACCTATAATACAAAGTGAAGAAAGTCTGTTTTGGAAGGTAAGTCCTGGGGGATCTGACCCCCAAGCCCCAGAGTAGGGGCAGGAGGGCAGCGGCAGCAGCGGCCTGCAGCCGCTGCTGAAGCGTTAACAAGTGCGGCCGGGACGGAGCCGCCAGGGGGCGGCCCTTGGGGCCGGGTTGGGGGGGGGGGGGCTGCGTGCTGGGGGCGAGGCCGTCTCTGAGCTCTCCCGCCGGCTCCCCGCTTGTTTGCTGCTGGCCTCCCCCTCAGTTGCTGCAACACTGGCTCTTGTTCTGCTGGGACTGCTCGTGAAGATCCACACCCCGGCTTCGGCCCGCTGCACCCCCCAGATTCTGGGGTTCACTCTTTGGCAACTTCTTAGCTAGAGATAAAAACAGAAGGGAACAGAGTATGGTAGATTTTACTCATCTCCCCAAAAAAGACTTAGGGGAAAGGGGAAATGTGAGAGACTAAAAGAATGCTCTGAAGGGAGGGTTCATTGCAAACAACACTGAAGATGAGGGGGCTAGAGCTGCAACCAAAGGATGGAGGTCACGATGGAAAGTTACAGTATTTCCACACCTGAAGTTTTCATAAAGGGAGACACTCCCATTTATCCTTATGACCTGGGTTAGTGATCTTGCCTAGAGGCAAGGGAAAAACGACAGGAAGACCTCAGGCTGCTCTGACCTTACCTATTGCCAGGAAGAGATCGTTCACGTTCATAGCTGTCTTGGCTGAAGTCTCCATAAACAATAAGCTGTTGTCATCTGCATACGCCTGGGCCTCCTGCAAGGGGTGGGGTGTACTGGTACTCAGACTGTAAGGCAGGGACAAGTGCTGCCTTTCCACTCCCATGGAGCACTGGAGCTAGGCAACATCCTAGGTTCCCTCCCCTCTGAGCCAGCTGGCCCTGGACCCATAATTTGGTGATGACTCCCTCAAGGGGTAACCCATGGTCTCCGCCACTTAATCCAACAAACAGATGTCAGGGAATGTAATCACAGGGAAGAAGGTAAGGTGGTTAGGGGCTTTGGGCTCCAACACTGAGTCCCTGACCTCACGTTCAATCAATCCCTCCTCTCACACTGGCACCCCCACGGCTGGCACTGGCACTCCCCTACCCCTCTGCTCTGGAACTTTCTTCTGACTCCTCTAAAATCTCCTGGCTGGCATTAGAGTCACAGTGCTGCTGTATTTAACTTGGTGCAGAACTGGGGAATGAGATGATGAATGTCCTCAGATGAGGTTTTCAGAGAGGGCAGGTTTGGAAAAAAGAGGTCCCAAGCATAGAGGGAGTGTGTCAGAGGACTTGGTGGCCATCTTACTTCATACTCCACCATGCGCTTGTTGGCCAGGTCGGCTTTGTTCCCTGCCAGGGCAATAACGATGCTAGGACTGGCCTGTCTCTGTAGTTCTTTTACCCATGTCTTCGCTCGGGCGAAAGTTTCCTGGGAAAACACAAGGATGAGAATGGGTAGGCTGGAATGACTGCCAATCTAGGGCTATCACCTTCAAAGTCCAATCTCAAAACTCACCTCTTCTAAGCAGCCGTTACTCACCGAAACCATCCGTTTCTGGCAAGTCATTACCTCTGTCTTCTCAACACTTGGAAGCATAATTTGTATTCTTATTTTGCTATTTCAAGAACCGGTTTTCTCTCCCCCACCTAATTTAATTCCTATGAACAAAAGCAAGGACAGTCTTCTCAGCCCACTTACCTGGTTAGTAATGTCATAAACCACAATGGCGGCTTGGGCGCCTCGGTAGTACATGGGAGCCAAGCTATGGTACCGCTCCTGCCCAGCTGTGTCCCAGATCTCAAACTTGACCGTCGTGTCATCTAGACAAACAGACTGGGTGAGGAAGGCCGCTATGAATGAGAACAGAGAAGCTGGTGTAAGTGGGAGAACGCACTGGAACGTCCCAACCTCCTTCAAAATATCTCCACGTCAGTCTAAGGCCAGTCACTACCCAGGCCGTTCAGCTACAGGAAAGGTTTCGCATTCTCCTTCTTATACCCTGGAAAGGTTTAGCATTTTCCTTCAGGCCCTGGCACCAGAATTAAGCCTGCTCTTGGCTAAATCCTTCCTGCCAGAAGTCTTTCCAGCTAAGGAATGGGGGCGCCATGGTAAACTCTAAGGGCTAGAAAGAACCAGCTTTAATACCAGAGTCAACGCTCTTCTAACCAAAATAGATTAAGAGATAATGAGAGACAATAAACTTCAGATAAAAGTCACATCAAGAACTGATTAGAAGATTTTAAAGCCTGATGTGAGGTCCCACCATTATATTATTTGGCTGTTACTTTTTTATATCACTTCTGCTGGTCTAAGAATGTATTTCCAAGGTAAGTAATAAAAGTGGGGAAGGAGAAAAATGGGGAGTTCTCATATTGAATTAGCACCCTATTTCGGGACAGTGGCAGAGCGAAGGTAGCCAAGGTAGGAAAGGCATATCTCTTTACCTTTTGTATTTAGCTCTAACCTCTGCTTTACCAGATGTGTGCATCAGAGATCATCTAAGGAGCTTTTCCAAACATACACGTCTACACTGCCACCAATCTCACCCTCCTTCCAAAACTAATCAGCCAACCTGAGGCAGGGCCCAGCATGCTCCCCAGGAGTTTCAGATGTACACCTTTGATTATAAGCCACTGCCCCAAATCAACCATGCTCAAGACGACCCTCAACTGAACTTCACTGGCATTAAGATGAGAGCAGGAAGAGGAAAACAGTCTGAGATTAAAAAAAAAAAAAAAAAGTGTTTTTTTTTGGTGCTCAAAGGCCAACCTTTCTAACTTTCTTCTAGGAAGAGGATGAACAGAGACCTGTTTTGGGGCACTTTGGCAATTTTTTTGTTTCATAAAAGATTTCCATTCCTGGGAGCTAAGAGGGCCGGCAGCATAATCGGATCCCTTGACCCCCTTCAGCAGCCCTTCTCAACAAGAGCTCTCTTCTCTCCCTGAAGTGCTTACCTCCAATGGTGCTCTCCTGGTACTCGTGGAACTGCCCTTTGACAAAACGTAACACCAGGCTGGACTTCCCCACCGCAGATTCACCCAGCAGGACCAGCTTGAACTGGCATATCTTGCTGGCCTGGGGCTGCCCGTTGGGCCTGGCTGTGCTTCTGCTAGTCATGGTGAGATTATCAGAGTGGGAAAGGGTGGAGGGAGGGGGATGCCACAAGGCGGCGGAGGGGGAGGGGGAGGGGAGGGGGGGTGTCCAGGCTTCAGCAGTTCTGCAAGAAAAGAAGTGGGTGAAATTAAACACCATGACAACGGCAACCATTTTTTTTAAGAGAAAGGACAGAATCTCTTCATATCTTTGCTCCAATAAGGACTTAAGTCTTATAATCACCCACCATTAAAAGCTTACACCACTGAGAGGGTCCCAGGCACCTGGCACTCAGTGGTTAAGAGCGGGGATCAAGAAAATAAGAATAGCATTTAAAGTAGAGTGTGCTGCAATGGAGAGACTGAAAACCATGTGAGTAGTCTTTAATCTCCCAGTCATTCCCCACCAGGTCTTCAAAGAACAGCAAATCAATCAACTTTTAGCTGGCCTAAAGAACACCCAGGTCCACCCAAAAGTACCCCAGATCCCTACTATCTCTTTGGTGTCCAGGTGCTGTCCTTTCCTTACCCCCTCTTCTTTCTAGACTTCAAAACGAGAAATTCACTCTAGGGGTGTAGGTAGCAGCATCCCTCTGAGGAGCTAAGGGATAGCCTCTGGTTCTGTGTCCTTCATGCATGACCACTTCTGAAACTGACATCCCTGAAAATCAAACCAGGATCCAATTACCAAAATCTATCCTTTCTCACTTCTGCTCAGAGTAACAGAGAAACAGACTAGCTTCAGTGTTAACTCTTTCCCTTTGCTTCTACCACCCCTCTGAGTCTGAAAATCTATCGAGTCAGTAGGCTTGATTCACTCTCAACGTGCGGCTCCCTTCTTGGTGCCTAGGGATAAGACTACGCTCCACATGAAAAAGGCCTAACAGCTGTAGGCCTGGTCAGGCCCAGAGGAAGAAGGCGCACCTTCTAAGCACAGGCAGCGGTCTCCAGAAGGCGGCGCAGGGGTGAGTCTTCAAGCAATAAATACGTGACCAAAGAATATAACTGAACCATCTTCTCTACCTTCTAAGTGGCTAAGAAAGCTGGTGGTGAAGAGGATACAGACAGAGGTTGGGACTTTGTCCACTCATCCAAAACTGAATATATTTCATCATCCTGACTGAGGGGGAAAGAACTGAGATTCAAAAAAGCGTTAGCGTGATCAGAACATGCAAAACCACCTCACCCCAAAATTAAGCACTGCTTGGACTGTACTTTGCTGGTTCAAATTGATGCTTCCCTTCTCTAAGACTGATTCTAGTGACTCCATAAAGATCATATTCTGTGACATATATAGTGAAAAAATAATTGCCTTGGGATCAAATCAGGGTTAAAAATATCTGCAATATTAGTAAAGATGGAAAGGACAGAAAAGCCATACAGAAAGAAGCATAGAGGAACAAAAGCTGTGGAGTCCAATTCATTGGATTCATTTTAGTTCTGCTTACAAGCTAGAACTTTTGGACAAGTTACTAAATCTACCTGTGCATTTGTTTCCTCATCTGTAAAATGGGATAACAGTCTATGAGCACCTATAAAGAGTACCTATGAGCACATATAAAGAACATAAATATTTGACATTATTAAGCTACTAATCATTAATTTCATGACATCAAGAAAATTTTTCTTTCTGAGCCTTCTACCGTTACAAAATGGAAAAAATACCTATCTCATAGAATACCCCTAAGGATTAAGTGAAGGATGTGTTTAATACAGAGCTAATAAATAGTAAGACAGGTATTATTTAATGGCCCTGATTCACAGAAATAATAAATTTAATATATTAAAGGACATCTCAATATTAGTTGTTATCAATATAATCCTAAAGAGTAGCCATTATATGAAGGAGGTAGAGGAAAACAAGGAAAAAAAAAGTGTAAGAGGAAGTTAACAGAGAAATGAGATAGAAACAAGAAAGCCCAGAAAAGTCTCAGCATAGACTAGATTAAGACAGAGGACTGTATAAAATTACTCTGATCCTACTGGGTATTTTGTAGTTCCCTACGTCAATGAGTCCTAAGAATTCAGATATACATGTGCCACTTTGTGATGAACTTTTCACTGGTTTATGATGAAATGATTAAAATAAAAATGATAGAGCAAGTTTTTCACAAAGCTAAATTTATTCAATTTAACAGTATCCTTTATAACACAATTTCTAACTTCTTAGTATCAATTTTCTCTCAAAGGTAAATATGTATTTATTGCATGGATAAGCCTCTAAGACCTATAGTTCAATTTAAAAAAAAGCAAAACACCCGGCTGATTCTATTTCTATAAACAAAGCAAAATTCTACAAAGAAAAAGGTATGGAAAGATACATGCTCATCTGTTAGCAGTGGTTACTTCCCTCTAGGGAGAATGAGACTACGGAAAATGGTATGTAAAGAACTCAAGATATTTTCATTCTACATAAATCTTTCTTTTATTAACAGGAAATATATATATATTTAAAGTTTCCTACATAACTTTAAAAAAAATGCTTTCTTTAAAAAATCAATAACGGTGTTGCTAGTCAGTAGTAAGCTTTCTAAATATACTTATGTAGAAAAATAGAAACCCTTAAATTTCATTTGTCTGTTAAATCCAAAATTCTGGGAACCAGTACTGCAAGAATCAGTATTAATTAGTTTCTTAACTACCAGTCACAGTTCTTTAACTCTTTTCGTCCTCAAACCTTTAGAGCAGTGTTTTTATGCTGTAAGGCAGTAGTGATCTTGAAATCGCTGGGTGGATCATGATCAGTATATTAAAAAAAGAAGAAAAATATTACCATGTGGCATGCAAATAATAAGCAAGAGAATCATTTTGTGAAAATGCTTCACTTGTGGTTGTATGTACACACACTGAATTTTGATGTAAAAAACCTTTTTTTTTTGAGCCATGATTAAAAGTTTTAACAAACACTGCTTTGGAGAGGCCTGCCACTGAAAGATGGGTTAGCAGGAAGTCTAGTCTCTGGCTGGCCTACAACAGCACTTCCAGGTGAAATTAAGATGAGGGCCAAATATAGCTCTCCAGGGTTAGAGGTTTTCCAACTCCGCTACTAAAGTTAGGGGACAGTCAGGGAAACGGAGTGTTGGCGTTGACAGGCTGTCCTGCACAGTGGTAAGCGCTCTGGAGCCAGGCAAGCCTTGGAATAAAGCCTTCTTCTCTGCTTTGTCCACTAACCCGCTAGGCCACTCACTCCTTTTACCTTTCTGAGCTTCAGCTTCCTTATCTACGAGGATCTGGGGTGGAGTAGGAAGGATAATAGGGGAAAATAGTAAAAGGCAGAATTTGAATTCAAAGTACTGGGTACATTTAAGAAATATGTTTCTCTTATACAGTTTCTCAGCATCTGTGAGGATTATTTTTAAAAATATATTTATGTAATACTTCATATACATTGTTCCATAAGTTAAGAGGATAGGCCATTATAACTCTACACTTGAAAACAGACGACATGACAGGGAGGAAAAAAAAACCTACAGATGATAAGCTGATCAAGTTTCCTTTAGGTTGATACACATATACTATACTCTTAAGAAACAACAGGAAAAGTGACTAGATTCTTTGACTTACTCCCTCACATTTCAAAGCATGTGATCCAAGGGGCAGAACACTAAGTTAGAGTGAACTGAATTCTCAATAGCAGACACATTTTTCTAGGCCTGGGAAAACAGCAGGAGTTGGAGAAGTGTGATGAAAGTTGAAAGAGGAGAGTGAAAAAGTTAGTTTAAAGCTCAACATTCAGAAAACTAACATCATGGTATGTGGTCCCATCACCTCATGGGAAATAGATGGGGAGACAGCGGAAACAGTGTCAGATTTTATTTTTTGGGGCTCCAAAATCACTGCAGATGGTGACTGCAGCCATGAAATTAAAAGACGCTTACTCCTTGGAATGAAAGTTATGGCCAACCTAGATAGCATATTAAAAAGCAGAGACATTACTTTGCCAACAAAGGTCCGTCTAGTCAAGGCTATGGTTTTTCCAATGGTCATGTATGGATGTGAGAGTTGGACTAAGAAAGCTGAGCGCCGAAAAATTGATGCTTTTGAACTGTGGTGTTGGAGAAGACTCTTGAGAGTCCCTTGGACTGCAAGGAGATCCAACCAGTCCATCCTGAAGGAGATAAGTCCTGGGTGTTCATTGGAAGGACTGATGCTGAAGCTGAAACTCCAATACTTTGGCCACCTGATGCGAAGAGCTGACTCATTGGAAAAGACCCTGATGCTTGGAGGGGTTGGGGGCAGGAGGAGAAGCGGGGGACAGAGGATGAGATGGCTGAATGGCATCACCGACTTGATGGGCATGAGTTTGAGTGAACTCTGGGAGCTTGTGATGGACAGGGAGGTCTGGTGTGCTTCAATTCATGGGGTTGCAAAGAGTCGGACACGACTGAGTGACTGAACTGAAGTGAACTGAAGATAGGAAACAGTTGGGAATTCCCTGGCGGTCCAGTGGTTAGGACTCCATGATTTCACTGCTGTGGCCTGGGTTCAATCCCTGGTCAGGGACCTGCAAGTTGCATGGCGTGGCCAGGAAAAAAAAGGGTAGGAAACAGTCACAGACACTCGGGTTGAAAAGCCCTTGGTCACTAACCCCGACAGATGGTAAGTCAAGCCAGAGTCAATGAGCAAACTTTCTTCAACTGTCAGAGATTAGTAACTACTAGCTTGGGAAAGACTATCTCCCACTCCAATGTTTCAGCTCAAGACTGTGTCCCATCTTCTGTGTTCACGGTAACTGCTGGGCTGCCCATCTTTGTGCCTTCATCTTTACTCCTAGCTTGTTAGTAAGAGTATCACGTTTCCTATGCAACAGCTAGACTCTCAAAAGATCAGGGGTACAGAAATGGAATAATACACATAAGATTCAATTGATTTTTCCCCTATTCTGGTGATGATTTTTTTGGCTGACAATCGACAGTGGGCAAACGATCCATCTGAAGGCAAAAAACAAACCACAGCCAACCAGTCAGGTGGTGTGATGATTATTACCTTCAAACCTGAGGCAAGAAAGGGAGGAGATTTTCCTTC